TTTAACATGGGCCCATACAGACTAAGGAATGACCTCAGTTCGCCCCTTGCTGTACTTGCTTTAAATTGAAAAAATACTTAATTCTCTGGAGCTGACAGTCTGAAAAGTTTCACAACTTATATATTTCGTGCGAGAAATGCCTTAAAGCAAGTAGGGAAAAATGAGGACTCTTTCTTGAGGATTTGTGCTTGTAGATGTTCACATGAAATGTCTTTCTAATCCTTTTTTTGCAGCTAGATTATTATGTTAACACTCTTAAATATAATAAGCTGTATTTCCATGCCTGCATTTTAAACTCCTACCAGAAACTATGTTCTTTTTATCAGTCTTACCTCAGAAATAAATAGGTATGTGTACTGCTACCATACTAACGGTGACCAAACACATCACAACCACAAAACAAAAACTAAGAGTAAATGATGATAAGTGCGGTCTGTTTGCACTTTATTGCTTGTTAATTACACACCATTTAATTTGTGGTTGGAATAATCAAGGAACTGCAATACTTCTGCTTGCCATATCTTTGGATTTCTGGATACGGGGGCCTGACTGCAGAGCTGCAGTGAAGCAAAGCTGCAGCAGTGTGGCTAGGGTCTCTGCAGTCTGCTTCTTCCTGTACTATAGATTTGCGTGTTCTCAAATATAGATTTACATGTATATATATAAAATATTATGCATATAAATATTATATTTAAAAGTATATTTCTGTTTCCAGTGGAAGATTTGTGATAAATTATGAGATTCTAAGCTACTATAGCAGAGGATCTGTGTAAGTGTACATTATATGCATATATATAAGCTTTATATTTCCAGATGAAAAAGATCTGCTGTGACAACTTTTAGAGCTTACATTTATTCTTATGACTGCTTTCCTTAATTTAAAACAGTGTAAACGAGGCTTTTGTAGTGTTACGGTAACACATAAACTGTGCACAGGTACACTCTGACCTTCTGTCTTACTTGAGTTGACCAGAATCTTGCTTCAGCTCTGTGTGAGACTGCACAAATACCTGAGATTGCAAAGGTGTATTTTGAGAGCCGGAGGCTTCAAGCTTAGCTCTGTACAAACAAATGTCTAAGCCCGTCTGGAGCCTCTAAATTTTAGAGCTCTGTCCAGACCCAAGGGCTATCATACACAAACCTGCTTGCAGAGGTGAGACCTTTGTCTTCATTTGAAACCAGTTCCCCTCATTCAGAGTTCTTACCTGGCCAGTGTCTCTGTTTTCTTGGTTTTCCCCTTATATTTTTACTCAGAAAAGATTCTGCAGGAAGAAAGTCATACATTAACATGAGGAATAGCATCTGCATTATATGTCTTTGGGAGGCTGTTACATTTGTAATACATGGCTGAGCTGTAAATTACTTGCATAGATGGTTGTCTTCTTTGCATGCTATCAATATTTATGAAAGATCTCACAGTCAACTAGCAGCACTACCCTGGAAGAGTAAATATGTCTGCTGTTAATCATTAGCTTCAGATGTACTGGGAGACCTAAGAAGACCTGATCCTCAGCCTTCCAACCTATGATACAGCACATATGATATACATCTGTATTTCCCTATATTTCCGTGTGAGATTTTCGGGACAAAAATTCAGGAGCCCAAAACATGCTCTTGTCATGCAGTGTTTTTGGATTGAGACTACAGCTATCCTTGCAAACAAATCAGAATCTTTGCATGGAGAATTATATCCATTGCACCTATTACAATGTATTAATGCTAATAGGAATTCCTATTAATGAAGTAATCTCTTTAGAGATATTAATTACTACAATTCAGCAGCTATGTGACACACTTTAAAAATGATAGGTAGCCTTCCTTTCCATTGCATCATGGATTTGTTTTGTTATTACCATATAATATTGGTAGGTAGCTTGTGGATATTGACAGCATGATAAAGTAACACCCTTTTTTTTTTGACCTGTCATTTGCGGCCTGTACAGAAAGGCTGTAAATCATCTGTAAAACATTCTCAGAGTAGGGCTTTCCCATGTAGAGGAAATGGCAGAGGCAGCCTGAGCTGGAGAGTCACCAACAGTTGTGACATTACTAGCGGTATTTCGTCTCATTCACTCTTGTTGACCAGCTGCCCAAAGGACTCAAAGCTTTCATATCCTAAGTATGTATAAACTCAATTAAAAGATATATACTTAGAGCCTTTTGTATTTGTTCCAGCGGGGCTGAAATAATGTTTTCACTGTAAACTCAGGGTAGCTACTAAAGAAATAGTTTCGTGTTTCAGTAATGTTTTGCTGTATTGCGACAGCTCAAGATGGGTGATTAATCACCCTCAGCTCCCGTGATCTGTTTTCAATGCTCTGTGCTTTAAAAGCTTAACTTTATGAAGACAGTTATTGAGCTTCTGGTTTGTGAGCTTTAACGAAGAACTTGTGATTCCTGAGCTGCCAGACCAGAGAGGAGTTATGTGGTCAGCATGAGAATGAACCTCATCCTTGCCCTTGCGACATTTCCTAGTTTTCTCTTTCAAAGGAAAGTGTCAGTCTGTGCTCTTGCCCAGGGGAACAGACAGAAGTTTCAAGGGGAAATGGAGTGTTGGACTCGGTGATGGAAAACAGCAGCTAGAGTAAGTCATTTGCAGTATATTTGTTTCATATAGTTTCATATGAGAAGTTAATGCTTTGGGAAAAAACAGAGGTAACTTTTAGCTGCTGTACAGAGGGTGCTTAAGTTCAAAAATTGTAGACACGAGAGACATTGTGAGTTATAGAGTGGAAAGAAGTATTCAGTGGGAGTCCAATGAGAATGTTTCATGTACGCTGATAGTCTCGCCGCCTTTGTGGATTGTGCGTAATGAATGTACACATTGCCACCGTATTAGGCTACCTCAAAGCAGGTGATCAGCTTTAATTTAAAAGAATAAATCTGCTGAATAGAGGTAGCGTAATAATGTCAGATTTTGTGATTTTTCTGCTTTTTAATTAAAAATATGAGAGGTGAAAATAGAAGGATTTTCCCCATGAGTGGATGAGGTAGAACGTCAGTAAGGGCAGAAAAGATGTTCTGCCTTTAACTCGCATATTTGCTGCCTATATCCATGTGTGAATCTGATGTCTATTGTCAGTAAAGTGTTCTGGGGTCAGAATGACATTTACTGTTTGCAACTATCTGCTGAAGTAGCCCTACTTGCTGCTTGAAAGGGTACTACAGGGTGGGTATTAAAATCATGTGCAGAAGTGGTATCTTTGTGTTTAAAGTACTTCTACCTTTAAATGTACAGTTTGGGAGAAAAACTGGAGAAGATTAATTCCCTTTTCACTTTCTCCCTGCTTCCATCTCCTGGTTTTGCACATCTCTGGAATCTAAATATTTAGGGATAGTTGTGAGCTGGCAACTTGATGCCCCTGTCAAAATGAGGTTGAAAACATATCCCATACAGTTCAGTGTCGGGCTGTGAAGTGTTTCTCCTGTCCTTCAGGTGAACCTTTGCTGGCAATTCCAGTGACTCTTTTCCATCCAGGGTTGTCACCGCTGGGTGACTCTCTAGCAGCCTGACCAGACGCCTGCTCAGGGCAGTGAAAGTCCTTCCATTACATTTATTGGCATTTGGGTCGTGGTCAGAAGGAAACACCGAACCAACAGACTCCTCGGTTTGCCTTGTTGTGGCACATCCTCTTTGCCCATATACATCTTAAGTTTTATTGGTCACATATTCAGGCAAATAGGTCTTCTGAAGGCAACTTAGTGGGCCAATGGGCATTATAAAATCAATACATAACAACAAAAAATGACAGCAGCAGTAATAATAATGAAAAGGATGAAGACTTAGATAGAAAAGTAGTATTTTGGGAGAAGAGAAATTAACATCTGAGTGGTTGATTAGCAACGACCTAACAGGTTAGATTCAAGCATTATTTCCAACACAACATTTTGTTCATCAAAATATAGGGGGCCTTGATTTTTCAGAGGATTGCTGCAGAAATGCTTAATTTTACAAATACAAAACCCAAAGAAAAATCAAGTGTGTTTTCAGTTCAATCTTTTTGCATTGTCTTCAGTGTGTGCAACCAAAACACGGGAGTCAGATTTCCTCTCTGATTCACCTACTTTTGCATAATGTTTTACATGTAATAATGAAGCTGACTTGGTTTATTAACATTAACCAAAGAGAAAACAGTAAGAAAGAAAATAAACAAGAGGTTGCTCTAATGTGAGTAAAAATATTACCAGCTACCAAGAACACAAACTGCCTTAGAAAATAGACCTATTGTGTGTCTGACGTGCTAGGAAAGAGTATCTTGGCTCTGTGTATCATTTTTCTTCCTGGTAGGATTAACCTGGCACAGGAGCTTCTCTGGCACCTTGGAAACCAGAATGTTGTTGTTACTGCTGTCGTATGTTTCTATGAAATGGCGGATAATAATTTTTTCAGATTACTTCAGCTGTGGTAGTCTTTGCCGTTGTCAGTAACACTTCCCCTTTTTTTCCTTTTCAAATAAGATGGCAACTTGAAAGTATGTCTGTAAATTATTTTTATAGACTTAAAGGGAATTATAAGTAAGAAAATATTCTTGCATATGCATTTTACAGCTGCCCATGGCTGTGGTAACAATCAGAGTTTTCTAGAAGATTAACTGGCCGTAGAAATGATAGAGGTGCAGAGGTCACCAGTACGGCATAATGTATAAAACAGTGGGAAGGTGATCAGTTGAAGCAAAAAAAATAGGAAAGAACTGGTTCTTCAGGCACTATTTTTCAAAATTTCTAGCCTTTTCTTTTAGACAAAGGAATACAAACAGAGTAAGACATAAGCTTGTTTTAGGTAATGTTTTTGCAAATTATCTGCCCTGCTGTAGTTTTTATCCAATGCTTTTGGCCCTGTTTTTATTTGCAGTCCTTTCAGCCTTGTCTTCTCAGACACGGAGAGCTTTGATCCAGTGAGCAAATACTGGTCTGCTTATCCTTCACCCAGTGCAATTCCTCGTGCTTGGTGGTTGCTGTCTGTCTGCTCTCTCGTGAGGTGTGTGGTGAGAGTCCCTTACGGCCCAATCCTGCTTCTACTGAGATCAATAGGAATCCGAATTTCTGCTTTGGCAAAAGCGGGATTGAGTCCTCTGTCCCCTGCAAGCGGCAGAGATGTCCCCAGACGTCCTGTTTGGCAACCCAGTTTCTCCTACCTTACACATCTGTCTCCTGCTTTATATTCAGGATGAAGATGGTAAATACCTTTCCTCTTACAGCAGCGATTAAAGGTCCTTGTTATCCTCGCAGGAAGTGGCAGAGGGAGGCTGCAGCGCTTTTCACAAGATTTGAAATAACCCACATGAAAGTCTGGCACATACAAACATTTAGGTTAACTTTCCCCTGGAGATGTCTGTGTGAGAAATACGGAGCCATCCTCGTGCCAATAAGGAAGAGATGTTTTTAAAAACAGCGCAGAGGAAATGCTCGTGGGTGATTCATTAGTTTAGATGCTGTGTGGGATAATAGATGGGAAAAGGTAACGAGGTGTAGCCTGTGAGGTCATTTCGGATTGCCGCCTGCTCCGGTTTGTGGAGCAGTCTCCTGTAGGTTATCCTGGGAATGGCGTTGCCTTTAATCCTGCAACAGCTTGCAGGTACTTTTCCCCAGTCACAGTGGTGGTGTCTCCTCTCAGAGGGAAGTGGCTGCGAGCGTCCAAAGTGGCTGTAGAGAAGCGAGGAGGAAGGATGGATGGATGGATGGATGGATGGATGGATGGATGGATGGATGGATGGATGGATGGATGGATGGATGGAGCAGACAGGGAAGCAGGATTACCACAGTGGGTTCAGAGGGCAGCAGGTGTTTTGACACTGGTAGGGAGCAGTGTCTCAGTACGTAATTTGCAACCTGAGTAACAGTAGCGCTGCCTCAAAGGCAACTTCGTTGCAATTCTGACTGCAGATACCATCTTCTGCTGTGGTGGTTTCTCCAGACGGGCTTTCCTGCTGGGTCACAGCTGTCGTTCGCTGGTGTCAGGAGGGGGCACGCAGACTCGCTGGAGCAGGTACACAGGGAGATGATGTGGTTTGGCTGGGAGTCATCGCCACTGCGAAACGTTTAATTGTCATCCGATATTGCAGCTATGCATTCTGTATCTTATTAATATTGTTCGGCACTCGCATAGCTGTGGGTTACATACCCTATGTGTAGGGTTCAGTGTGCGTGTGGCTGTAAGCACAGCGCAGCGACCTGCGGGGTCGATGTCCCGCGCGGGGGGCGGCAGCGCGGCTCCGACCCCACGGCTCTGGAGTATTAACGCCGGCCCAGTGTCGGCGCCAGGCTTGTCGCGCATTGGTGCGGTGAGGGGGTGTTCACGCCGTGCCTGGTGCGGTCCCTGTCGGGGGGGGTGTGTG